AATCCAAACATCTATCAACAGTAGAATGGATAAATAGTAGTACATTCTTCTAATGGAACATTATCCACAAATGAAAATGAAAAAAACCTACAGCTATATATAAAAACATAGATGAATCTTACAAATATAAGTTGGACAAGCAAAACATTAATCAGGTTAAGGCATACATGCTTAGATGTTAAAGCTATTTAAAAGAGCAAGAAAGGGAATGCCATAAAATACAGAAGAGTGACTGTTTCTAGGAAAAGGAATGGGGTGCTAGCCAGATGTGAGAAGTCATGAGGAGGACTTCTAAAGTACTGTGAATACTTTTTTCTTTTATCTGTGTGATGGTTACACAGATGTTCACTTTGTGATGATTCACTAAGCTATGTGGTTTGGTTCTGTGCACCTTTGTGTATATGCAATACATTTTGCCAAATGAAAGGTTATAAAAAAGAGAGGAAGGGAAGAAGAAAGAAAATAAATAACAAGTCACAACACTATCTGGAAAGATATCTAATATATTAAGTTAAATACTAAAGTCAAATGAAATGATGACAAATAAGCACACAAAAAGATGCTCAACATCATTAGTCATCAGGGAAATGCAAATGAAAACCATAATGAGATAACCACTACACATCTGTTTAGAATGCCTAAAATACTAAAATTCTTAATACTGAGGATGCAGACCAACTGGAATACTCACCAATGTCGGTAGGAATGCAAAGTGGTACAGGCACTTTGAAAAATAGTGAATGAAAATTTTTTACAAAGCTAAACATACCCCTACCGTATATAAATCACCAATCTCATTCTTAGTAGTACTTACCCAAGAGAAATGAAAACGTATGTACACACACAATTGTAAGCAAATGTTTATAGCAGCCTTATTCATAATCATAAAAAAAGGAAACAACTCACATGTCCTTCAACTGATGAACGGATAAAGAAACTGGTATATCCACACAATGGTATTATTACTTAACAAAAGGAACAACTATTGATACATGCAGCAACATGGATGATCTCAAATGCATGTTGCTAACTTAACAAAGCTAGACCTAAAAGGCTACACACTGTATGATTCCATTTACATGACATTCTGGAATATGTATTACCTAACTATACAACATAATGAGATTATAATGTAATTCACTTAGATATTTAACTATAATAACAACAAAAAGCATTACTTGTAAAATTACATTTGCACTTGGTTTAGCATTTTATATACATATTTTAATCCTCCGAATAATCATGTAAAGCTAAATCATCGCAACTTTACCAATGAAAAAACAAATTCAAAAAGTAACATTTTACCCACGGGTACACATCTAGTGAGTGGTAAAGCTGGGGTTTAGTCCCATTGTATCTGGGTCTTTCCAAGCCCATTTTCTTTCCTCTACATCATACTGCCTCTTAGTTCAAAAGCACTGGTAATTGCTTAATGGATAGTGTTTTCTTTTGAATTATTTAAAGATGTGTTCATACTTCCTACATTTGCAAGTTTAAAATAAATCATGAAGGGAACACTCCTGCACTGCTGGTGGGAATGTGAATTGGTACAGCCACTATGGAGAACAGTATGGAGGTTCCTTAAAAAACTACAAATAGAACTACCATATGACCCACCAATCCCACTACTGGGCATATACCCTGAGAAATCCATAATTCAAAAAGAGTCAGGTACCAAAATGTTCATTGCAGCTCTATTTACAATAGCCCGGAGATGGAAACAACCTAAGTGCCCATCATCGGATGAATGGATAAAGAAGATGTGGCACATATCTACAATGGAATATTACTCAGCCATAAAAAGAAACGAAATTGAGCTATTTGTAATGAGGTGGACAGACCTAGAGTCTGTCATACAGAGTGAAGTAAGTCAGAAAGAGAAAGACAAATACCGTATGCTAACACATATATATGGAATTTAAGAAAAAAAATGTCATGAAGAACCTAGGGGTAAGACAGGAATAAAGACACAGACCTACTGGAGAACGGACTTGAGGATATGGGGAGGGGGAAGGGTGAGCTGTGACAAAGAGAGAGAGAGGCATGGACATATATACACTACCGAACTACCAAACGTAAGGTAGATAGCTAGTGGGAAGCAGCCGCATAGCACAGGGATATCAGCTCAGTGCTGACCGCCTGGAGGGGTGGGATAGGGAGGGTGGGAGGGAGGGAGACACAAGAGGGAAGACATATGGGAACATATGTATATGTATAACTGATTCACTTTGTTATAAAGCAGAAACTAACACACCATTGTAAAGGAATTATACCCCAATAAAGATGTTAAATAAATAAATAAATAAATAAATCATGAATATTTCCTATTATTAAGGTACCCACATACCCACAATCATACAATACAAAGTTAAAATATACAACTTCTGCCCTCAAGATGTTTATAATCTAAGAGTTAGCACACATATGACAAAGTAGGCAATTTTAAACCTCAAAAATAATAGCCAAGTAGTAGAAACATGGGTAGCGTGAGTGCCTTATAATAACAAAATAATTCTAATTGCTTCTTCCCATCCCTTGTATCATCACTATCATTCATTTCACTTATATAAGGATATGTGTATGAAGTATACATATATACATACACATAAGCAAACACAGTCAAATACAGTGTCACTATTATTTTAAACTGTTATCTGTTAGATCAATTAACAAGAAAAATAAAAGTTTTTATTTTACCTTCATTCATTTCTTCTCCAATGCTTTTCCTTAGATATCTGAGTTTCTGACCTGTATCATTTTCTTTGTCTCTAAAGCACTTCTTTTAACATTTCTTGCAAAAATGGTCTCCTGGCAAAAAATGCCCTCAGTTTTTGTCTGATAATTTTTATTTCTCCTTTACTTTTAAAGGATAATTTTGCACAGTACATTATTCTAGGTTGGTGGCTTTTTTCTCTCAACACCTTAAATAGTTCACTCCGCTCTCTTCTTGCTTGCATGGTTTCTAGGGAGAAGCCAGATAATAATTCTTATCTTTACTCCTCTATAAGTGAGGGATTTTTCCCCCTCTGGCTTCTTCAGGATTTTTTTATCTTCGATTTTCTGTTATTTGAAAATAATATGCCTAGGTATAAGAATCTTTTTGGCATTTATCCTACTTGGTGTTCTCTGAACTCCCTGGACCTTTGGTTTGATGTCTGATGTTGATTTTGGGAAATTCACAGTCATTACTGTTTCAAATACTTCTTCTGTTCCTTTCTTTCTTCTCTGGTATTGCCATTATGCTTATGTTACACCTTTTGTAGTCACCCCACAGTCCTTGGATATTCTGTTCTTCTGTTCTGGTTTGTTTTTTTTTTGGTTTTTTTTGTTTTTTTTTTTTGCGGTACGTGGGCCTCTCACTGTTGTGGCCTCTCCCGTTGCAGAGCACAGGCTCCGGACGCACAGGCTCAGTGGCCATGGCTCATGGGCCCAGCCGCTCCGCGGCATGTGGGATTTTCCCGGACCGGGGCACAAACCCGTTTTCCCCTGCATCAGCAGGCGGACTCTCAACCACTGCGCCACCAGGGAAGCCCTGTTCTGTTTTTTTTATTCTGGGCTTTTTCTCTTTGGTTTTCAGTTTCCAAGAATTCTACTGATACATCCTCTTGCTCAAGACTCTTTCCTCATGCATGTCCAATCTACTAATAAGGCCATCAAAAGCACTCTTCAATTCTGTTACAGTGTGTTTTTTTTCTCTAGCATTTCTTTTTGGTTCTTTCTTGGAACTTCCATCTCTCTACTTACATCGTCCATCTGTTCTTGCATGTGGTCTACTTTATCTATTAGCACTCTTAGCATATTAATCACAGTTGTTTTAAATTCCAAGTATGATAATTCCAACACCCCTGCCATATCTAATCCTGATTCTCGTGCTTGCTCTGTCTCTTTCAATTGTGTTTTCTGCCTTTTAGTATATCTTATAATTTTTTTTTTGACAGCCAGGCATGATACACTTTTTAAAATGACCTTCTATAAACAGGTCTTTAGTAATATGGTGGTAAGGTGTGGGGGGGATGGCTGAACAATTTATAGTCTTATGATAAGATCTCAGTCTTTTAGAAAGCCTGTGCTTCTGGACTGTGAACTTCACACACACACTTCTCAATCCATCTCCCTCCCCTCAGGTGGAACAGGATGGCTAGAGTGAGCTGAAGTTGTGTATTTCCCTTCACCCACATCAGTTAGCCTCTGATAAAACTCCAGCAGGTTAGGCTCTGGTGAAATAGTTTATCCTAAGGGCAAGCCTTGTTAGGAGGAACAGAATGCTCTGGCATATTTCAAAGTCATTCCTTTTGCCCCTCCTCTATCAAAAGCATGAGGAGATTTTTCTGATATTTACTGAGAGAATCTGGTAGAGACACAACAGGTAAGACTCACAAAAGTGTGGGGCCTCTGATGACCGGTTTCCCCTGGAGTTTTTAACTCTCAGAGTTGCCCACACTGAACCTCCAGCAATTTGTCAACCAATTCAGGTTTCCCTACACCAGCACTGGCTTCCAACAAGGTTGCTGCTCTAGTGAACTGTGATTCACTGTAGTCTCTGCTGGTCTCTCCAATTTTAAGGGCAGTGGTTTGCTTTGTGACCTCTCTACTAAAAAAGTCATTGATTTTTCAGTGTGTTCAGGTTTCTACTTGTTGTTAGGATGGAGTGGCAACTTCCAAGCTTCTTACATGCCATACCAGAAAGCGGAAGTTTGCGTTTTCTTTTAAGAAATGTTTTTCTACACCACAAGCTTAAAAACTTATGTAGAATAATAAAACACATACAAACTCAATATCATATAGAACAAAACTGTGTTACATACTTTGTAAATTATTTATTTATTATTTTTCACTTTCCTCTTACAATGCACATATTTATATTTCTGGACATGCAGCCTAGATCAGACACTGTTCTTAAATATCTGAACCTCCCAGTTTATCTATAAAAATCAATATAAAATTATAAACTATAATCCTTGAAATATATCTTCCAAACAAGTGATTAAAATACAGCTTACCATTTTGATGCCTGTGGAAAATGTCACTGGTTTTGTAGGTTTAGGTTTCTCAAGTTGCATTTCCAGTTGGGTAGATCTATCTTTATGCTGAGCCAAAAGTAGAGCAACGGGGAGATCAGAACTCTCCTGCAAGAAAAGTTAAAGTGCAATGTGAAAGTTAAAAATAAAAGCAATGAGTCTTTTATTTTAAATTATGCCTTTCCATAAACATTTGATGTCAACCTAGGTATTCACTTTATGGAGAACACTTTATAAAAAACTTTAACAATCCATAATAAGAAAAGGCTGCTTTAGACTCATAAATCAAAATAACCTACAAAAAAGGATTTTTATAAAATCCACATTAAAGACAATATAATAGGGTCTTATTTCATCTAGCAAAACCAACCATATTTATTAAAATAAAAAAATTAGAAGCTAATCACAAAAATAGTACAAAGTACTATAACTTAGATCAGATGTTTATCTAAGGCACATTTCTTTTTTACCAGTGAATTCAGACCAGTCTGAAATTGTTTCCCATTAGATTTCACCTGAGGCCGTTTGGAAATGATCCTTGCTCTGTTTTGCACAATGGAATGATTGTTAAGTACAATCAAAAGACATTTATCAATATTTTCTCCTTTATTGACTTATTTTTATAAATAATTTATCTTTATAAATTTTTTAATTAACAAAATAACAGTAAACACTTTTAATATCTTATATTGATACTAAATCAGGGCCACTATTTACACAAATCTGTACACACACATATCAATAACACAAATTACTAACTCTTATATGTAGACTGTCATTTATTCTGTTTAACATGAAGCCTTCTCACATGTTTAAAGTGATGCAGAGCTAAGATCTAAACTAAATGTATCCAGACATTTTCCTTTCTGAGCTGTCAGTTAAATAAGAACACAGAAACACGTGCAAAAGGAAACCAGGAAGGAAGGAGATCATATACAAACATATGCAAAGACACATACTACTTTCTATATCTGTAAACAAAAATGAAGGTACAAACACATTTCAGTCTCCTATACCAAGGTGACCTACGAAAACAGTCTTCAAATGGCCCACAGAGTTTTAAAATAGTAACTACCCAGAATTTAATCCTGAAAAAACTATATTGTTACACATTTCATAGTATAAAAGTAAAGACATAGCAGAATCTAATTTTCTTTCCAAAACCAACAACTTAATATTTTGGGGCACAAATATGGCTAATTAATATATTTAAAGGACTTGTTTAAAAGTTATAGTACAGAAGAAATTCAAGTAACAAGCCATTTATTTCCATAGCATCATCCTAGAATAAATCTGTATCTCAAAACTTTGTAACAGAAGTGCTATGCAAGAGCAAATGTTACAAAGATTAAAACTTTTAAAAGTAAATGGAGGGCTTCCCTGGTGGCGCAGTGGTTGAGAATCTGCCTGCTAATGCAGGGGACATGGGTTCGAGCCCTGGTCTGGGAGGATCCCACATGCCACGGAGCAACTAGGCCCGTGTGCCACAACTACTGAGCCTGCGCATCTGGAGCCTGTGCTCCGCAACAAGAGAGGCCGCGATAGTGAGAGGCCCGCGCACAGCAATGACGAGTGGCCCCCGCTTGCCACAACTGGAGAAAGCCCTCGCACAGAAACGAAGACCCAACATAGCAAAAATAAATTAATTAATTAATAAACTCCTATCCCCCAACATCCTTTAAAAAAAAAAAAAAAAAAAAAGTAAATGGAAAAACACAAATTTTATTTATAAAATAGAACTTTATAAAGGATCAAAATTCTTAAGACATGGCTTTAGCAATAATGAAGGAGGATGAATAAAATACACTATGACAACATACTTGACTACCTTTCATATTCTACAACAAAGCATTAGTAATGCATTAATAATAGTATTTCTGTGAATTCCTGCAGCTTTCCATTAGGAATTTTACAATAAAATGTAAAATTAAAGAATATTTTAAATGGGCGGTGGCCCAAAATATCTTTTAAAATCTCTAACTACCTTTTCATATGTAAAAACTAACAGAAGAAAAATAAATTTCCTTGGCTAAAATGCTAAATCATTGCTTCCTAATTAATACTCTAAGTGAATTCAAATTCCATACCTGGTACTTACCCTAAAAAGTAAAAGTTCTCATGTAAAAGTAAGACAATGTGTGCACTTCAAAAAAGTTGCTAATCAATACTTTGCCTGTTTTAATCCTGGTTTCACCTTCACATAAAAGAACCAGAATATTAAAATGTCTTGATAAAACAGTTGAAATTTAATAAAAATAAACATTCTAGAAAGCTAAAACTAATTTTGATACTAAGGCAATACAATTTACTTTAAATCTGCTGTACTCCACTTTAGCAATCAAAACTTTGGAGACTGAAAATCTTTGTATACGTTAAACTAGAAGGACTTCCCCGGTGACGCAGTGGTTAAGAGTCCGCCTGCCAGTGCAGCGGACGCAGGTACAGGCCCTGGTCTGGGAGGATCCCACATGCCACGGAGCAGCTGGGCCCATGCACCACAACTGCTAAGCCTGTGCTCTGGAGCCCACCCGATGCAGCTGCTGGGCCCGTGTGCCACAACTACTGAAGTTGTGGTCTGCAACAAGAGAAGCCACCACAGTGAGAAGCCCGTGCACCACAGCAAGGAGTGGCCCTCGCTCTCTGTAACTAGAGAGAAAGCCCACGAACAGCAACAAAGACCCAACGCAGCCAAAAATAAATTAAAAAAAAAAAAGTTAAACTAGAAATAAGCAGGAGTTCTAACAACAACAACAACAAAATCTACAGAGTAAAATAAACTATGGGAAACATACATGCTCTCAGAAACACAAAAAATGCAGATTCAGCCTTTCAAGTTATTTCATTCTTCTTAGCTTTCCATTTTTACCCTGAAAGGTTCCCTAAGCTACATTGATTGCCTGAAGGTACACTGCTTAATATTTAAAGAAATTTTAATTAAGACTACCTGTAATACTCATTAAAAGCTTTATAATGACCATTTTTAAATGATTATTTTAACTGACTTAAAGCAAGCCATCTGGCAAACAATATTCTAATAAAAATCAGCTACTGCTTTTGACAATATTAGCCCTTAACAAAATTTAAGACATAGCTGAAGAGAATTTTCAAACAAGAATATAAAAAGATTTAATAAGCCAGGACCTGTTTAAAAATCTTTTTCCAAACTTTAAAAAAAAAAAAAAACCCTGAATTTACAGTTAGGATTAAATAAATGGACATTTTAGGCAACATTATAGTAAATGCTAAGCCATAAACATTAAGACCATAACATTAAAATCCTGTCACATCATACAGTATAGTGTAATGCCAATGCTTTTATAAAAGGTTAAAAAGTAACTTGTAGCACAAGGACCAGAAACAGCAGAAAAAAAATTCTAATAAGTTGTGCTTATACTAGTTGCCTAAATTAGATCCAGAAAATCATTCTAAGATTTAAGCTTCTAGATATATTTATAGATGCCAATTCAATCTTTCTTAATAAAATCTAACACATGAACATACATAGAAAAAAATACAATGTATTCTTTTACTTAATAAGGATTCAGGAGGATAAAAAGAAATTTAATGAATTCTTTCAGTTAGTCAATAAGGATGAAATATATGTTAGCATTTTAACAAAAAAATTTTAATAAATATTAAAAAATTAAAGTAACAATCTTTAAATATAAATTTAAATATGAAAATGAGAAATTCAAATTGAATTGGTATTTAAACCAATCTGTTGTAATTAATTGTTCTAATGAATACAGTAAATTGTTAAGGATTATTTAACCACCATGTTACATGATCTAAACAGTAAAGAAAGTATGCACAGTAATGACTTGCAGGTGAAGAAAACAGGAAGGGGGAGCAGTTCTTAACAAAAGCCAATATTAACTCCAGGTTATACACAACGTACAACATTGGCAGTTGCAGCTCAATTGCCAAGAACAGCTCAATGAGGCAGCAAAACTTCATGTTAAAAGACTAAAGACAAAAAGAATATGCAAAAATAATTGCTATGCAAAACCAGCTTATCTCAAAATCAAAACTAAAAACGCTTTATACTAAATGGAACATTTTTAAAAAGTTAAAGTGTATTTTCGTCTTATATCTAAGTTCTGTATTTGGAATTAACTCAATTAATTGTATAGCAGAAAGCATTACCAAAGAAAACTCTGCATAAAATGATGAGAGAAACAACCTTTCAAAAAAATAATTGTAACATGAATCTTTACTAATTCCTTCTTTAAAGTTTTTAATTTCTCACAAGCTACATGTCTATGAAAAAAATGTAAAACATGACATGCATCATTTCAACTGTTAAAGCCATAACTGCCACTTAATAGTTTCAAAAAAATTAATGCAAGTTAGGGATTTCCCTGGTGGCACAGGGGATAAGACTCCATGATCCCAATGCAGGGGGCCCAGGTTCAATCCCTGGTCATGGAACTAGATCCCACGTGCATGCCACAACTAAGAGTTCTCATGCCACAACTAAGGAGCCCTGGGGACACAAGTAAGGAGCCCACCTGCCGCAACTAAGACCTGATGCAACCAAATATAAAAATAAATAAATATTAAAAAGAAAAATCAATGGGAGTTACTAAGGAAAAAAACATATTCTATTTTATACACTGCTGTCCTAATTTTTTTTTCCTTTCTTGGCGCAACGGCACACGGTGCAGCCTGCAGCATCTCATTTCCCAACTAGGGACTGAACCCAGGCCACGGCACTGAAAGCGCCAAATCCTAACCACTAGACCACCAAGGAACTCCCTGTCCTCATTTTTAGAACCAAATTTACATTCCATTCATACAAAGTAGATAGGGTTTATGATAAGCATTTTCTGTCTGAGCCTCACTAAGGCCTTTACCCTTACTTTTCCTTTACTTTCTCACCTACTTCTAATTTAAATTATCTTGCTTTCTCTTTTTATTCCTGGTTATATGGCTTAAATGCTTTTAGGGCAAAAGCACAGTAGAAAAATATACACATACACTTTTACCTGATCATAGAATAACAAACAGCATAGCAACTAGTAGACTGAGGAGTTAAGTGTGTTAACACCACATGGAAACTAATTATGGGTCCAGAAAGGGGAAAGGAAGAATGTAAAAAGACTTTACTGGAAAGGACGATTTTCTAATTGTGATTTCATCAATATCACAATGGTTTATAAGCATCAAATAATATTCTCCAATCTATGAAACACTTCATAAACCTTGGTTATAATTACTGCTATTATCTAACAATGTTGTCTACTTAGGGAGCTAATAACTAGAAAACACCAATAACTTGCAAGACATTGCCATTTCTTTCAAATGTATTTTTTTCATGCAAAAATATGAAACATAGTTCTCACAGAGTAACCAGAGTCACTAAAACTTCAGCATGAAGCCAAAACACTTGAAAATGAGCTAGTTATTAGAAAACCAGTATTAATCAGGAGAAAAATGCTCTGAAAACAATATGTTTTAGTCAGTAAGCTCAGAAACACATCAACAACCTATTAATAGTAAACTGGCTTATGTTAGTTAAAATATTACTCTCTTACCTGAAAATAAAATGGATATTGACAAACGTTTTTTTTTTAAATAAAGGGACAGAAGGTGAATAAACCAGCACAAACTATAGAAATGCTATTTAAATACCATTACCCAGAATAATAAATAGGGAAGATAAACCCTGAAGACAAATGATTTTTTATCACAATTAACATTAATACGTACCAGTTCATCTAAAAAAGCCTGCTTATTCTTCCTTTTTAGAATCTGCTGCAGTTGTTCTTCTTTTTGTATAAATAGTCTTCTTTGTTCATTTTCCTGTCGTTCTACCTCTAAAGCTTCTTCCAATTCCTCCTGTTCCCGAGTCTAAAACAGAAACATTGATATATGGCATGGAATAAATTTAGTAACCAAAATCAACCCTATACCATACTCTGTACCTCCTTTCTTAGAAGCATAAAATGCACTAGTCACTAATTGTTTAATAGTGCAGCAATTCCACTTTAAAAGAACTAGAATTCATTTTATTTCATGTGGACATGTTACTATTAAAGAGAATGACATCTAGCACTAAATGAACACCTAAACAAAGTACACTGAGCCCAGCTGCAGAATTGTAGAAACTGCTTAACAATGTCTTTATTTTAGGAGATTTAACAAGAAAAACACAATAAAACAAAAAACCCAACAACAAATAGATAATCTCCATATAGAACTATTGATTGAAACACTCCATATAAAAGACTGGTTTATTTAATAGAAACAATTTTCAGAATATATAAGATAATGAAAAGTTATCATAGGAGTTAGCTTCTTTTTCCCAAGTTAAAATAAGTCTTTCTGATGCTTGAGTTCCAAATAGCATTCATTTAAGGTAAGTTATGAAAAGCTGAAGTCATTTTCTAACACAAGCATATAAATTTCAAGGGTCCTCTTTGTAGACTGAAAAATTCAAAATCCAGAGCTAATATGTAGAGAGAATGAACTACAGGCCTACTCATTTCCCTTTTATGAAGTTCCTCAGAAATATTAAATACTTCCAGGTTCTGAAATTTATTCCAACTCTAACTTGTACTTAAAAGCAATATTATACCTAGCCTCTGCTCTTTAAGTTTTCTGAATGAGAAATACAGTAAAATCTGAATGGCTTTAGTTTAAATCCTTTACTGTTGCTATTGAAAATGTAATACCTTTTTTTTTTTTTAATTCAACAAGACATTGAGAATTTATGGCACCTCAAGACAAATACAGAATAGAGGGAGAGAGTATAATACATTTGGGGATCACTAACATAATATATGAATTAACAGAGACCTCAGAGAAAAGTACATTTTTATGTAAAATAATAATTAAAACACTCTATTAGATTTTTTTCACTTCACAAATTAAACTCCCCAAAGAAACAAGATTCCCAATTAAAAAGTGTTTCACTTATAATTCAAACTCAGTATATGCAAAATTAAGTTTAGCATTTGGTTTCCCAAAACTGATCACCCTCCTGTATTCCTGATTTCTGCTAAGCGCACACCTACATCTCAGGCAACTCAAGTTGAAACCTCAAAGTCATCTCTGTTTTCCCCCTCTCCCACAACCCCATTCCTCTTAAATTAAATCAGTTGCTAAGTCCTATTAGCATCTCTCCCTGTAATTTTACAAACCTCTATTACTGAGGTTACTATTCTAACTCAGGCACCCAGTGGAGAAGAGAATTCAAACTTGATTTAGAAGGATTACTAGGAATAAATGTAAAAACTTAGGGGGTGAGATATGAGGGCTAGAAAAGTGAATTACTGGACTATAGGTCCATAAGCAGAAAAGGATGAGTCTCATGATAAAACAGTGACATACAAGTAATAAGTACGACAAGCGACAGAGAGGTATACACAGAGTACAGTTGGGACAGAATTGATAGAGTGGTAAATTCTCCTTGCAATGATGGAGGACAGGTAGAGTTAGAAAAGATTTCGTATACAGTGTTATGGGTTGAATGTGTGCCCCCAAAATATATATTGAAGTTTTAACCCCTGGTACCTATAAATGTGACCTTATTTGGAAATAGGGTCTTTGCAGATATAATCAAGTTAAGATAGGTCATACTGGAAATTTTGCCACAGACACATGGGGAGAAGGCCATGTGAAGACAGAGGCAGAAATCAGAGTGGTGCCAAAGGTGCTAGAAAAGGCAAAGAAAGATGCTTCCCTAGAGCTTTCAGAGAGGCCATGACCCTGATGACACCTTGATTTCAGACTTCTAGCCTACAGAAGCCTGTTCTTGAAGAGAACAAATTCCTGTTGTTATAAATCACCCAGTTTTTGGTAATTTGTTTTAACAGTCCTAGGTAACTAATATATGGAGGTTGAGCAGACTTCAAACGGTAGGTATTTACCCCCACTGGAGAGTGGAAGAGCCATTTAGGCAGAGAAAACAAAGGTGCAAAGACATGAATAAAGCTGGAATGCTTGGTATGGCCAAGTCATGAAGTATGGGAGTTGGGGAAAGCTCTAGATAAAGCTGGAGAGGCAAGCAGACGGCAGATCATGGAAAGTCGACCATACCATACTAAGGGATGCATTTATGCCATACTAAGGCAACTGGGAAGACATTAGAGTTTGGAAAGATGACTAGAAGCAGTGAAGAATACATATCAATGGGGTTCAAGACTGAAGACAGGAAGACTAGCTAGAAGAATATTTCAATAACTCAAGTAAGAAATAATGAGGACCCTAAGTAAGGTAACAATAATATAATTAGAGGAGGAACCAGGTTTGAAAGGTCATAAGGAAAGACTATCAACAATATATGAAGACTGACCAGATATGGCTAGAACACTTAGATAAAGAATGTAATAGGAGAAATAGATGGGAGAGTGAAGATTAAAAAGTTCAATTATGGGGGCTTCCTGGTGGCTCAGTGGTTGAGAGTCCGCCTGCTGATGCAGGGGACACGGGTTCGTGCCCCGGTCCAGGAAGATCCCACATGCTGCGGAGCAGCTGGGCCCGTGAGCCATGGCCGCTGAGCCTGCGCGTCCGGAGCCTATGCTCTGAAAAGGGAGAGGCCACAACAGTGAGAGGCCTGCGTACCGCAAAAAAAAAAAAAAAAAAAAGGAAAAGAAAAAAAATACGTTCAATTATGATGAACGTAGATGCAAAAATCCTCAACAAAATATTAGCAAACCAAATTCAACAATACATTAAAAGGATTAGATAACATAATCATGTGGAATTTATCCCAGGGGTGCAAGGATGGTTAAACATCCACAAATCAATCAATGTGATACACCACATTTACAAATTGAAAAATAAAAAGCATATGGTCATCTCAATAGATGCAAAAAGGTCTTCTGATAAAATTCAACATCGATTTATGATAAAAACTCTAAACAAGTGGGCACAGAGAACATAATTCAACATAATGAAGGCCAAATATGACAAGCCCACGACTAATATCATACTCAACAGTGAAAAGCTGAAAGCATTTCCTCTGAGATCAGGAACAAGACAAGGATGCCCACTCTTGCCACTTTTATTTATAACATAGTACCACAAGTCCTAGCCACAGCAATCAGACAAAAAAAGAAATAAAAGGAATTCAGATTGGAAAGGAAGAAGAAAAACTGTCACTGTTTACGGATGGCATGATACTGTATATAGAAAATCCTAAAGATGCCAACAAAATACCTATTAGAACTCATCAATGAATTCAGTAAACTTGCAGGATACAACATTAGTATATAGAAATCTGTTGCATTTCTATACACTAACAACAAACTATCAGAAAGATAAATTAATCTCATTTACATCTGTATCAAAACGAATAAAATACCTAGGAATTCATCTAACTAAGGAGGTAAAAGACCTGTACAGAGAACACTATAATACACTGACAAAAGAAACTGAAGACAGGACAAACAAATGGAAAGATATACTGTGCTCATGGCTTGGAAGAATTAATATTGTTAAAATGGCCATACTACCCCAAGGCAATCTACAGATTCAATGCAATCCCTATCAAAATACCAATGGCATTTTTCACAGAACTAGAACAAATAATTCTTTTTGTGTATGGCAACACAAAAGACCCCAAGTAGCCAAAACAATCATGAGAAAGAAGAACAAAGCTGGAGGTATCACACTCCCTGATTTCAAACTATAATACCAAGCCACAATCTTCAGAAAAATATGGTACTGGTACAAAAACAAAGATCAATGGAACAGAATAGAGAGCCCAGAAATAAACCCACACTTACATGGGAAATTAATCTATGACAAAGGAGGCAAGAATATATAATGAGGAAAAGACAGCCTCTTCGATAAATGGTTTTGCAAAAACTGGACAGCTACATGCAAAAGAATTAAACTGGACTACTTTCTCATACCATATACAAAAATAAACTCCAAAGGGACTGAAGACTTAAATGTAAGTCCTGACACCATAAAACTCTTAGAAGAAAACACTGGTAGTATGGTCTTTAACGTCAGTCTTAGCAAACTATAAATCTGATAAGGGGTTAATATCCAAAATATACAAAGAATTCATAGAGCTCAACATCAAAAAACAAACAACCTGGGACTTCCCCAGCGGTGCAGTGGTTAAGAATCTGCCTGCCAATGCAGGGGACACAAGCTCAATCCCTGGTCCAGGAAGATCCCACATGCCGCAGAGCAACTAAGCCCGTACGCCATAACTACTGAGCTGTGCTCTAGAGCCTGCGAGCCACCACTACTGAGCCCACGTGCTGCAACTACTGAAGCCCACGTGCCTAGATCCCGTGCTCCGCAACAAGAGAAGCCACTGCTATGAGAAGCTCACGCACCGTAATGAAGTAGCCCCCCCTCGCCGCAACTAGAGAAAGCCCGCGCAGCAACAAAGACACAACGCAGCCCAACAATAATAAATAAATAATCTTTTAAAAACAAACAAACAACCTGATTAAAAAATGGGCAAAGAACCTGAATAGACTTTTTTCCAGAGAATACATACAGATGGCCAAAAGGCACAGGAAAAGATGCTCAACATCACTAATCATCAGGGAAATGCAAATCAAAACCACAATGAGATATCACCTCACACCTGTCAGAATGGCTACAATCAAAAAGAAAACAAATAACAAATGCTGTCAAGGATGTGGAGAAAAGGGGACCCTAGCACACTCTTGGTGGGAATGTAAATTGGTGCAGACACTATAGAAAACAATAAGCTTCCTCAAAAAATTAGAAACAGAACTACCATACAATCCAGCAAATCTGGGTACTTATCCAAAGAAAATAAAAACACTAATTTGAAAAGATATATGCATCCCAATGTTCATTTATGCATTATTTACAATAGCCAAGATAATGGAAGCACCTTAAGTACCCATCAATAATAGAAGCATGGATAAAAAAAGATGTGAGATATAGATATATATAGATATATATACATATATACAATCAAATATTACTCAGCCATAAAAAAAGAATGAAATCTTGCCATTTGGATTAACCTAGATGGTATTATGCTAAGTTAAATAAGTCAGACAGAGAAAGACAAATACTGTATGATTTCACTTACTTTGGAATCTAAAAAACAAAACCAGTGAACAAAAACAGCAAAACAGAGTCACAGAGAACAAACAGGTGGTTGCCAGAGGGGAGGGGGGATGAGGAATGAGAGAAATAGGTGAGGAAGATCAAGAGGTACAAAATTCCAGTTACAAAATAAATAAGTCACAGGTATGAAATATACAGTGTGGGAGTACAGTCAACAGGAATGCAGTATCTTTGTATCATGATGGTAACCATACAATCAAAATGGTAACTTGACTTATCATGGTGACCATTTTGAAATGTATAGAAATATCGAATCACTACGCTGTGCACCAGGAACTAAAACAATGTTGTAGGTCAATTATACTACAAAAACGAACGAACAAATCACTGAAAAAGAGATCAGATTTGTGATTACCAGAAGCAAGGGCTAGGCGGAGGAAGAATTGGATAAAGGTAGTCAAAAGGTACCAACTTCCAGTTATAAGATTAGCTAGGGATGCAATGTACAACATGATAAATATAATAGACACTGCTGCATATATGAAAGTTCTTAAGAGAGTAAATCCTAAGAGTTCTCACCATAAGGAAAAAATTTTTTCTTTTATTTTGTATCTATATGATGATGGATGTTTACTAAACTTATTGTGATAATTATTTCCTGAGATATATAAGTCAAATCATTATGCTGTATACCTTAAACTTACATAGTGCCATATGTCAATTATGTACAGCTCAATAAAACTGGAAGGAAAAGAAAATTCAGTTCTGGAATGCTGAATCACAAATGCCTTTAATGCATCCAGAAAAAATGTCGATTAACCAATTACAGATATATGGACGTATCACATATAATTCTTGGAGCTCAGGAGGAAAACAACGGGCTGCAGAAACACTTGAGAGTAATCAGTGTAAAGGATTAACTCTTAAAGAGAAGCACCGAGAGGAATCCAAGTGTTTAAGAAACAGAAAGGAAAGAGAAGCCTCTTAGAAGGATGAAAGAGGAAGGTGAGAGCAGCAGGATGAAGAGAATGGAGTGGCCCCACAGAAGTCAAGGAAGAGTTTCACCATCAAGGGAGAAGCCTGCATCAAATACTGCCCTGCCTACAGACTAAATGACATTCAGACCAACACAGAGTCTATTGGCTTTGTCAATGAGAAACTGGTAGCCTCAATTTTCTCACTGTATTTAAGTATTTTGAAAATAGAAAGCCTCAATAAATATTGGTTGGCTAGCTAGCTGATTGAATAACTGGGAAAATAGCTGTCATTAAAAATCAAACATTGGGGACACAAAGAAGGTATTGGACTGGGAGATGGGAAGCAGGCTGAAAGACTAGAAGGTCTCTGTTTTCTCCCCATTAATGGCACCACCTTACCCAATCAACCTTTACCTCCCACTTCTAATCCATCATTAGGACTTGCTATTTCAAACTCAAAACATTTCTCGAATTCATCCCTACCTCTCCATTCCTTGTTTAAGTCACCTCTGAACTCGCCTACAAGACTGCAATAACCTCCCATTGGCCTCCTAAACTCCAGGTTTGATCCTCTCAAATTCAACCTCCACAAAAGCAATAAATCTATTCTAATAAGGACAATACTTTATTATCACTTTGTTTAATACCCTTCAATGACAATCATTAACAGCTAGGTTTCTATAACATTACTCTAAGGAATCCTGGGAATTCCCTAATAAGATGTCTAAGGTACACTACAGAAGAGACTGAGCAGATGGGAATTCAAGCCTATTCGTCCTCCCTCTGTTGATTCAACAAACGTATTCAGAGTAAGGTTTCATTTGAAGAAAAGGTTCACCTGCTAAAACATACAAACAACTGGTCAATATAAGCCCAAATTACTTTTCACAATACATAAGGCCTTATGTTACCTAGGCTCTTTCTACTTCAGTTTCAACTCTATTGAACTTGGCAATATAGAACTACTTACAATTCTCAGCGCTCTCTGTGATTATCCATGCCGTCTTGCCTTTGCTCATGATTTCTTCTGCCTGGAATGTCTTTGTGCAGCTTCCCAACCCACCCCTTTCCCATCTTCTACAACTTGGTAACTTCTACTTGTTCTTCAAAGCTCCATTCAGGCATTATCTCACCTGGAATGCCTTTCTCAATCTTCCTAGAACAGATTAGGTATCCCTCTTCTGTATTCCCGTAATAGCAAGCACACAGAACTCTCCATGTGCCTATGTCATTGTACTGAAATTACCTGGTCCCTACAGAACCAGGGTTCTTATTCATCTTTGTATACTATGTGTTTAGCAGACGTTCAACAAATGCTTATTGAACTAAAGTTTTTTTTGCTAAATTGATAGACATTCTATGCAGCAGTATCTGCTGCTCATGAGAATCCAGAAAACGGAAGATAAAAATTAAGCTAATCTTCACTAAGAGTCTATTTCAAGATTAGTTCACCTTTATTCAGTTTCTCCATGCTCACAATTGATGCTAGGTGCCAGCTCCATGAGACAAATAAGATCTCGTTAGCAGACAACTCAGTAATAGTTTCTCTATGTCAGAAATGGGTCATTTCATGTGCCTAATCATGCAAGAGATTGCTTTTTTTTTCCTTTTTGACACAATTCTGATAGTTTTGGAACAGTAAGACTTCAACTTTCACAAAGACATTAAAGGCAAGTTGCTACCTCAGGTTTGCAAAAAGACATCAGTCATATAGTCCACACTCCTTGGGCCACTTGAGAACTGTCTCTACCCAATGATACCATAGTTACTGATGTTATGTAATTATGTTATGTTAATTTGCACCATCTTAAAAAATGGTCCTATGTCTGTATTTATGCCAAAAACAAATAGTGATAGTAAGTATCACTAATAGATAAAATGCTCAGCACAGAATGACCAATTAATAAATGATAATGAATTACTGACCAAAATCCTTTGTTATAAGATCCAGGTGCTAAACGTTAATATGAAGAATAAATGCAGTCACTGTAACATGCATTACATAAAATACAAGTTGATCCTTGTACAACACAGGGGGTTAGGGGCGCTGACCCTTTGCACAATTGAAAATCTGTGTATAATTTATAGTCTGCCCTCCTTATCAGTGGTTCCCTCTGTATCTGCAGTTCTGCATCCAAGGATTCAACCAACTTCTCATCGTGTGGTACTGTAGCATTTACTATTGAAAATAATCCAGGTGTTAAGTGGACCCGCGCAGTTCAAACTTGTGTTGTTCAAGGGTCAACTGTATTCAATAACCTATCATTATAAAGTTTTCAGATAATTAGAAATTCCTACTTTAAAATAATATAACCAGCCTAAAATTAGATTATTCTTTCAACACTCAATATTATTTGCTACTTTAAAACAATAAATGAAAACAGCACTCACTTGAAAAGAACCTCATTAATTTAAACAGAGCTAATGCAACAAGTTACCTGGGCATACCTATTTTGCATGTATCTTCTGATGTACCCAGAGAAAGCTACTGGGCAAAGAGAGTAATTTTTATGGCACACTGATGCTTTCAGAAATGAGACACCTTTCTAAGGAAGCCAGGCTGGATATGAATGGAATAGAACGTCAATTCCTTGAGAGTTTTATTGCAGGAAAGAAGTGCCTAAATGAAACACTTAAAGACTATAAAAAGGAAGTCCTTCTAAGTACAAGACGAAAATACAAGCTATGTAATCCAAATATATCTATATCATTTTTACCAATGATTACAAATTCCTGATACAGTACCTCAAAAACAATTACCTCTGCTTTCCCCCAAAACTAGAAAGCCAAGTTGTACTGAAGAAATGATAGCTAAATTGTGTAAGTTAATTAAATCTTTGCATGTCTATAATTATTTTTCCTTTATAGGATATATTTTAACAATGCCATCAAAACTGTCTTTGCTATAGTAATGTGTGCCTCGTACCTATATGCCTATATACATATATTAGTATTTCTGGCATTAATTTCAGCTAAAGTCTTTGTAAATATAACTAGTTTTAGAGAAAGATAGCTTTTTAAAGGATCATGTGGAAGCATTCATCTCTAATACAAAAGAAGAAGAAAATACTTAGCAACCAACCAGCTTTAACTTATTTTTCTGAATGACATCTTTGTTTTCCTTTTGGTATATCTCCATTTTCTTTTTGGTGTTGTCCAAATCCACATTGTTGGTCAAGTTGAAAACTGCATCAGAAAAGAAACACTGACATGAAATACAGTTTTAACATAAATCTTGAGAAGATAATAAAAACCAAATATTCATCAGAGTGATTTCTTAATTCATCAGGTTGACAGTCTTTACAGCTTAAGAAACTAGCTCTAGTTCAGCAACTATGTTTTCTGAACCAAATATAAGGAGAGACTGTCAGACTATCACACAGACTATCTAAAGATCTGAATCACCTCAAAAAACCTAAGATACGTGCTTGCCATAATCACAGTGGATTTGATTTTTATAGTGCCCATTTTAACTGTAAAAGTATAAAAAAGATTGCTTAAGTTTTTAAATAAAAAGAGTAAGTCTGGGACCTACTATACCGGTCAGAATCAATACTGAAAAGAATCTATGTGCCAGAAACAGAAAAATTATCCAAAGGAATAAAAAAATATTATCAAACTAGAACAGGTTTTATTCTGATCCTCAACATGGCTAGACACAAGCTTGAATCATTTACCATATAGTCTAGATCTGGGAAACTATGAAATACATGAGTCAAAAATTAACAAGGAAGGTAAAGGAAAATCTGGCACCAAAACTTAAGACTGAAATAATTTAGTAAGAGAAGCCACTGAGATATGTTCAGATAGGTGATAAACTTTCAGTGACTTAGAACGATCTTTTTATAATTCCAACTCAAAATAATTTTCATTATAAATGCCTTACTCCCTTCTAAGTTTACATATGTAAATAAAAAGGTTATTATAATACTCTGAACCAAAAAAACTATTTTAGTATATATAAATTCATATTTTGAAGTACTGCCCCACTGCCCTACCCCTTTCAGTGTTTGTATCAGCCCGTCTAAAGAAGGATCATCATCGTTGTCTCTCCTGTTCCATAATTCAATCCAGACTTCCCTTGGATTCCTCATAATGTTTGTGCATCCATTATTAGCCCTTCTATCCCTTCTCCAATTACTTACCACTGCTTCCTCCAGCTTGACCTATAAACAGGTTTGATCTACCCTAAATAACTCTGCTTTACTCCATGTTTCTACAGATTCCTTCCCCATCTCACTCCTTCATTTAACTAATAACCATCTCAAATAGTTCCTAGATTTTTGCATTAGGTCTGTAAGAGTTGAAAAGTAATATTGGAAGCCCAACAGAGGGTTATCTGTTTTGTTGAGTATTAAACATACTCAAAAGACCAATCTGATCCATAATTTAATTTTTATCTCTTCAAAGGACCAACTTATTTCAGAACATCAATTTATCATAATCATTGTTGAAAATCCAGGCTTATTTAAGTATGTAGAAAAAAAAGAAGCAATTCTCAATTCTATTACATGCAATTTTAAAACTCTGGGAGAAGTGAGAGAAAATGAGAAACAACAGCCCTCTAGCTATTGCTCCAGCTTTTTTATCACAAAGTAGAAAAGAAAATAATAATGGTGGTAAACCAGGGAATCTGTCTAGGATGCAACATAGGGCATTCCCTATAAATCACACTTTGGTCCCAACACAAAATAGTCAGAGAAAGAAGTTCCAAACTAGCAACAGCCCTCAGAAAGACAACTGTGATCCATTCTGATTCCACTATCCTTGCCAACCACTCACAATTTACTCCTTGCATTTAACAGCCATCCACTGAACCACCAAATCCAAAAATCTTTCACAACCTCTACCACCTTCAACATCTACGCCCACTTAACAATTTTGATCACTTTTTTTTCCTCAGCACGTCCTTCCCGTGACTAATTTGTTAATATTTTCTCCTGATCTCCTTCCTACTACTACAACTACCCATTCTTGTTTCCATCTCTGCCTCATCTTGCTCTCTAGGTACACTGCATGATTCTGACTTTTGCCCTCTTTCCTCCCTCTATGTTCCTTGGGTAATCTCATAACTTGCCACAGTTTCAAGCAAAGAAATGCCAGGAAAAGCTGATATCATCTCAAAGTACAATTTAGAAAACCCAGCACATAAACATCTCCAAATTTACTCCTCCTTGTAAATTCTTTACCTGTTAATATTATGACTATCATGCTAAGACACCAGGATTTAACATCTCATTCATGTGACCCACTGTCCTTTGCACTCCATAAGCACCAGCTGCAAAATACTACAGATTCTACCACCAAAATCTCTTTAAAACTGCCCTTATTTTCAATGTACCTGCCAGTACTCCAAGCCAGGATCTTATTTCTCCCTGGATAATTTAATCTCTGACTTAACTTCCTGTCTCCAGAATCTTTGCATCTTTCCCTATTCCCTAACCCCATCCATAGTATACAATGCTGCCAGACTAATATTTCTGAAGCACACCTCAAATCACCTTCCACCTCTACCATCCTATAGTCCTCTCTCATCCCGTCTGCCTTCCCCCTTTTACTAGGAAAAAACAAAATCAAACACTTTTAGAATCCAGAGCCCTTCCTAATTTGCCTATAACTACTATAAAGACCTATCTTGAAACTAGACAGGTGTGCATTTCCCAAATGTTCCCCACATTTCCTGGTCCAGTTCCTTTGATCATACCATTGCCCAGAATGCCTGATCCCCCTTTCTTATTTTTGAAAATATACCCAATCTTCAAATGTCTACCCAAATACTATCTTTTCCATGAAGTTCTCCCCGGTTCCCCTAACTAGAAATAACTTCCTTCTCTTATAAATGTGGAAAAATTATTCACAGCTCATATAAAAATCTCTTTCTACTTTACATGATATGTATACACATACACAGCAATCTTTACTTTGCACTTCATCATATTTTCTATAATCTCTGTATCATCACTTCTCCATTCACAATGCCTTGAAAAAAAATCCAGTCTTAACTCTTACATTACTTTTCCCTCTCTGCTTTGAGAGTTTTGCAGATTCCTCAGAGCCTCTTCAAGAACCAAGGGAAAGAGAGATTGAGCAATCCAACCAAAGTAGTTTTCCTTCATTTGTCTTCTTGAAGTGATCTCCTTCTCAAAACTCTGCTTGATGTAAAACAACTATAACCCAATTAAAAAAAAAAAAAACCTCTATAGCACGTGTATGTGGGCACACCCATGTGTATCTATGAAACATCTCAAAGATCTATAAAACACGTATGATAGGCACTACATCTAGCATTTGACCTAATTGTATCACTTAATCCTCCTGATAATCTTATGAGATATGTGAGGTACTACTGTCATTTACACTTTACAGGTAAGGTTTAAAGATATTAAATAACTACGTCCAAGGTATAGTAAATGTTGGAACCAGGATTTTAACCTAGGCTGATTCCAAAGCCTGAAATTTTTTTTTAATTTCTATTGGAGTATAGTTGATTCACAGTGTTGTGTTCCAAAGCGTGAACTTTTGTTTACAATGCTAGTTTTATTGCTTCTCTCTATGCCTGAAGACCACTGCTAGCCCAGTTCAGCTAGTTCTCTGCATCTGTACAGGCCACACTTTCCTATTTCCATACCTGTGAGCAAACTGCTCCCACAGGGCCCATCTTAGTACCAGCCTCAACCCAGAACAACTGTGAATATCTGTATCTGGCTACCCTTCTATGTCCAGCTTAATCAGCAGCTCTTCCTCATAACTCACTTTGCAGGTGCAAATCCTCTCCAGCCTCCATCCCTGAATGCTATAACTCACTTTGCAGTTAGAAATCCCCTACATCTCTCCACCCCTGAATGCTCACAACAGATTACGTAATATCGTTCTGGTGGTATTTATCCATTTTCTACCCTGTATAATTATTTTCAATGTACCTATCTATTTGACCTAATAGAGTGGTCCTTGAGGGCAGATTCTAGGACTGATTCTGCTTTATCACTCCCAGCATTTAAATAAAAAACTTTCACTATACACCCATTAGAATGGGCAAAAACCAACACATGATGACACCAAATACTGGCAAGGATGTGAGCAACAGGAACTCTCATACACTGCAGTGGGAATGCAAAATGGCCCAGCACTTTGGAAAACAGTCTGACAGTTTCTTACAAAACGAAAGATACTCTTATCATACAATCCAGCAACTGCCCTCCTTGGTATTTATCGAAAGGAGTTAAAAACCATGTCCACACAAAAGCCTGCATACGAATGTTTACAGCAGCTTTATTCATAATTGCCAAAACACGGAAGCAATCAAGATGTCCTTCAGTAGTTTGAAAAGATAAATAAACTATAATATATCCAGACAATGGGATATTATTCAGCACCAAATAATAACAGTAATAATAATAAGCTATAAAACCATGAAAAGACATGGAGGAACCTTAAATGCATATTACTATGAGAAAGAAAACAATTTGATAAGGCTACATACTGTACGATTCCAACTATATGACACTCTGGAAAAGGCAAAAATATGGAGACAGTAAAAAGATCCGTGGTTGCCAGGGATTCGGGGGAAGGAGGGACAAACAGGCAGAACACAGAGGAATTTCTGGGTAGCCAAACTATTCTGTACAATACTATAATGGTGGATACATGCCATTATACAGTTATCCAAACCCATAAAATGTACAACACCAAGAGTAAACCCTAATGTAAACTATGGACTTAGGAGATAACGATATGTCAATGTAGGTTCATTGACTGTAACAAATTTACCACTCTAGTGGGGTATGTTGATAGTGAGGGAGGTCTGTGCATGTGTGGCACAAGGGGTATACAGGAACTCTCTGTACATTCCCTTTAATTTTGCTGTGAATCTAAAACTGCTCTAAAAAATCAAGTCTATTTAAAAAACAACAGGAACTTCTCATCTGGTAAGAGCTCAAGAAATGCTTGTTGAATTATTACAAAAGGGAAAAAAATAAATAAACCAATGCTGGGGGTGAGGGAATGGACGAAATAGGTAAAGCTGATTAAGAGGTACAAACTGCCTGCTTAAAGTAAGTCATAAGTCATAGGGATGTAATGTACATAGGGAATATAGTCAATAATACTGTAACTACTTTCTATAGTGATGGATGAGAACCGGTCTTATTGCAGTGATCATTTCATAATGCATAAAATTAGCGAATCAC